AGTGAAAGCTTCATACAAGGACGTTGATGATTATATCTCTACTTTTGAGCCGCTTTTGTTGGAAGAAGTCAAGGCTCAGATTATTCAGAGGAATGACGACGAAGAAGGTATTTTCACTTTTATGCAGTAGGGTCGGTCGGGAAAAAGTTGAGGAGGGAATTGAAAAAGGAAAAGTTATATCTTTACGTGTTCTGTATGTTGCAATGGTAGCTATGAGGGGGGAGAATCGTTTATAGATTGCACTGGTTTGAGGTTTTATGATGAGTAATACTCCTTTGCTCTATCAAATTTCTTAAATTTTAGTACTTGGGATTTGCAGCGACAGATTGGAAGTTCAGGGCGATCATGGAGTGTAATGAAGTTAATGGATTTCACTTCCCGGAGATAGTGTATCTCAGAGAGGAGGAACTAAATGACGAAGACAGCGAAAAGGGTGAATTCCTATCGCCAAATGATCTTTTGCTTCTCTCCAAGGAGAAGGTGAAGGGAAAAAAGAACTTTTGCTGTCAAAATTTCCCCCCTATTTCTCTACCTTTCTCCATACAGAAGTTTAGAGAACAGAAAAAATAAATGCTGGGCAAATTTGTTAGTCGTTCACCTGATAGTCTCCTTATGGAGGATTTTTCTTGAAGCTCTGTTGGTTTACTTCTCTTTCTTCTGGTCTGGTTCTATGTAATTTAGGCGAAAAGAAAAATTGAACCTAATCTACACTGAGCTTGAAAAAAGAAGCCGAAAAACTAAATGAGAGTGGGGAAAAGAATGAGAAAAAGTTAGTTCAAATTCCATTGTTATCATTCACGGAGGATATTGAAGATTTCATTCTGTTTTGAATCCTCCCTGAATGCTTGGATTTGTATGCCTATTGAAATTGGCTTATTGTGTTTTGTCTTTCCTTTTTATAGCTAATGTCATAGTATTTCTTGCAGTTTCAGGAGAATGCAAAACTGCCCACCACATACGCTTTTGCATTAGTGGAAAGTCGCCAACAAAGTAAACTCAGACTTAGAATGTATTTGGCTGGAGAAGTCACACATAAAGGTGTAGACGCTATTGTATCTTCTCCAAGGCTTCTGAAAGTACGGTCTCATATTACTTCTTCTAGTAAAGATGGAATATATATTTACAGTTTAAAGGTAAAACTTCCCCTATACTTTCTAAAAGTTTTTCTGGATGGCGGCTTTTTCCTTTTCATTGGTAATTTTTGTTGTTGATGGTACCTGATGGTTCTAAGTACTTTTGATATATCTTTCTTATGCCTGTAGTAACTATAATAGTTGATAGTGCTTGTATAGTTTTCTGCATGCTGCATTTTTTTTTTTAATTAAGTAAAACATTTCTCTTGAATCCTTATTTGAGAATATGATTGTTGCTACCTCTTTTGTTAATGCTTGTTAGAAGAGCTTCTTGTAACTTCCTTTTTCAAGGTTGAGCCCCCCACCTAATATTCATAAATGAAATTTGTTTCTTATGATTCTTTTAATGCCTATATTTATATTGCGGAATCATATATTATAATATATTCCCATTTTTTTCTTTTAGATTTTGTTTAAGAAAATAGTTAATGAAAAGCATTTATGTGATTGTTTTAGTGCCAACGAGTATTTCTATTCTTTTGGTCACTTCCTCAATCTTCTGTTGTTTCTTAATTTAGTAATTATACAGATACTAACAACAGAACAGTTCTCTTATTTGTGTTTCTAAGCCAATTTATTGATTCTGCAGATTTGCAGTTTATCAACTATCATTCGTGAATATATAGCTTTGTGGTCTATTAGCTCTCTACCTTTTAAGGATATGATATTAGCAGCTGCTGATAAGAATACCAGTAAAGATCAAGCCTGGAAAATTTCCAGACCTTTGCAGGATTACATGAAAGAAAATCTTAATGAATCCCAACAGGCAGCTGTACAGGTCAGTGTTAGTAGTAAGTAGCAGTTTGGTGAAGCAGTGTTGTAGTTATTTGTCAGTCTGGTATTTATTTTTCCCTTGTTTAAAGTTTTCAAGATTATGACTCAATTCAAGTACCTTCCCCTCCCTCTCTCTCTCCCTCTCTTGTATTTCTTCTTATGCACTTTTATTTTTTAATCATTTAACTATACAAGCTTCTCT